CGTGCTTCTACGACGCACAAGTATCTTATATACCGGCACGAAAACTTGAAAACAGCCTCATAAACGTCAAGGACAAGTTAGAGCAGGAGAAGTTCTAGACGTCGTCGATTAAATCCAATGCACAGATTTGACACACGTTTATATAGCTAAGACTAGCAAATCAAAGAGAAGGTGGCGTCAAATGCACTTGTCAAACATCTATTCACAGGCCATGTGATCACATGAAAAGCTGCTTCCATTATCGCCATGGGAAAGAAAGCATGTTGGCTGAAACATGTGATTAGGTGACCTTATAAGTAGGTGAACTTGCTGCTCATGCTTCATTGTCAACAATGCTCCCATATGGGAGTTGAAACGTCTTTTTAGAATACATTTTTCACTTGTTCAGCGCAGTGTAAATTTCGTCCATGTCTTTCCCTGGCCAGGCGGGTGTCCACTAAAACCTCCACTATGAATTTATTATAAGTTTTTATCTTAAAATTCTCCAGTTTTATTGTGATGGCAGAGCTTCACAATAATGTACTGCCATCACAACAAAACTGGATAATTTTAAGATAAACTTATAATAAATTCATAGTGGAGATATTGGTGGACACCCGCCTGGCCAGGGAAAGACATGGACGAAATTTACACTGCGCTGAACAAGTGAAAAATATATTCTAAAAAGACGTTTCAACTCCCATATGGGAGCGTTGTTGACAATGAAGCATGAGAAGCAAGTTCAACTGCTTATAAGGTCACCATACACATGTTTCAGCCAACATGCTTTCATGGCCGGAAGATTACCACAGTTGAACAAAAAATGATTCGAGATGAAGTCGTGGAAAGAGTTTCTTTCCCATGGCGATAATGGAAGCAGCTTTTCATGTAATCACATGGCCTGTGAATAGATGTTTGACAAGTGCATTTGACGCCACCTTCTCTTTAATTTGCCGGTCTTAGCAATATAAATATTTTCCCCCTCTACACTGCACATACAGTACAGGGATCAGTTATTCACTTTCAACGAAATTACGAACCACTTTTATCTAGGCCGGCGAGAGTTCCCCCTCCCGGATAAGAAATTAACGCACAGCCAGTCGGTCACGTTACACTTGCTCCAGACTAACTCATACCCCAGCCCCTGGCGCATGAAGCATATCAACCCGGACTACGACGGACATGTGTGTGAACAGTAATGTGAACATGTAGATTTGAACCATATGTTCTGTGGTTGTGCATCAAGAGACATGCCAAGAACAAGCAACAGTGGGCCAAAGTGCTCAAAAGTGCTTTACTAGCAGACCAACTTCGGGCTGTCCAGGAGGCCCGCCAGGCGGCTGAGAGATTCGGGCTCTCTGTCCCAACGTGGGAGATGCCCTCTACACCTGGCGTCTAGCCAACACCTCCTAAAAATTCTTCAGGCCTGCGCCCTCCGCCGTGACGTCACCACCAGCCGTCCTACGAGTTCAATACCTCCTGACCGGTTCCGTCGCGCATTCCCGAATTTCCACTTCCTGCAGTGGTGACGGCCGTGCTGCACGTGTTTTTTTCGCGAGTCTGCCGAGCCATTTTCTTTGCGTTGTGTGCAGTGAATTTTACTGCCGAAATTTTGTTGCACGAAGCTTCTGACATGCCCAATAAGTGTTGTGTGCCGGCATGTTCAAGTAATTACAAGACCGGGAAGAAAGTTCAAGTATTTTCATTCCCCAAGGATGAAGTGCTAAGGAAGAAGTGGCTCAGTGCTATCCCAAGAAAGGATTTCTTCCCTACGGAAAACAACAAGGTAAGAGCAAACTGGATGTCACCATTGCATCACACTGATGGTGAAATTATACTCATTGTAACTGTTCGCGAAGTGCTTGTGCAATGTTTAGACGCATTCCGAGGTTCGCTGACACTCTGCGACTGCCATTGGTGTGCAGGTATGCGCATTGCATTTCACCGAGTCATGCCTTCAGAACAAGTCGTCCTACATGGATCCTATGACAGGAAGAGTGCTAGAGGTCTCACTGAAAGTACCACGCCTGCGTTCAGGATCAGTGCCCACACTGTTCCCAGGATGTCCTTCGTACTTGTCGAAGGATGACCCTTCTCCGAGAGAATGCCCGGAAACGAAAAAAATGCGCCGAGAAGCGGCTGACCTCGCTCGTGCCATCGCAGAATCGGAGGCTTCTTATCGTGATGAAGAAACGAAATGCTGTTTTTCCTCGCTTTTTGAGCTTATGGAATGTTTGAAAAGTGCACCTGTGCCAAATGAGTGGATTGTAATTCACCGCACAAACTGTGCCCTGTTTTTAAATATTGTTGATGAGAGCATGCCGATGTTGCGGTCGTCTGTTACTGTTTTCAGCGACCTGAGTATCAGTGTATGTTTTCATGGTACCAAATTAAGCCGTATAGGTGATTATGTCGTGCCAGGAAGCATTGGGAATGTGAATGTCCTGTCTGCCATCCTGAGTAGGCTTCAAAGCATCCTCGATGAAAAATGCTCCTCAGAAGGTCTTTGTGACGTAGTCGTTAGCCTTCTTGAGCAACTTGAACGAGATGCCATTGACAGCAAGAAACGTATCAGTCGCTTCTTGCGAGAACAGGTGGCGTTGCTTGGAAAACAACGATTGGAGTATTCCTCCGAAAGTATGGTGGTTGCTTGCATATTGCATACCATATCTCCACACGCCTACAAATTTCTCAGGGGTTCAGGTTTTTTTGCCATGCCACATCCCAGTACTTGTCGAAATGTCTGCTCCTCGTTTCACTTGTCACCTGACACTGAGTCAGCCAGTGAAAATTTTCTCAGGTACATAAAACACAGATTTAAACAATTGCAGCCGCATGAAAGTGCCGTGGTTCTCATGGTTGATGAAATTCACATCCAGCCTTTCTTCGATTTTAAAGGTGGAAAAATTTCAGGGGCAGCAGGAAACAGTGAAGAGGCCGCTACTTCTGCTCATGTGTTTATGGTGCAAAGCATGCTGAGTTCTTTTCGCGAGGTGGTGCACATTCTGCCTGCACGAACAATGAATGCTCACTCTCTTCATGCTGTCCTGAAAAATGTAATCATTGGCCTTGAGGAAATTGGTTTTAAAGTTCTTGCAGTAGTTTCAGACAACAACGCAATCAATCGCAAAGCACTTAGTATGTTTTCAGATCCGCCAAAGCCGAGCATCGTTTACCCAAATCCAAAAGACGCAACAAGACCTATGTTTTATGTTGTGGATTCTGTGCACTTGTTGAAATGCATTCGAAACAACTGGATAAATCAAAAGAATCTTGGGACAAACCTATATTTTCCTATGTTTGATCTCTCAAACAACAGTGTCCATCCCGACTGCATACAGCGGGCATCATTCAAAGATCTTCGGGAGCTGCACAAGCTATAGGCTTCTCAGCTTTTGAAGTACAGCTATCGCCTTTCGTCAAAGGCGCTAAATCCTAGCAACTTCGAAAGGCAAAATGTTAAGCTAGTAGTACAAATATTCAATGCTTTTGTAGCTGAGGCACTGGATCACCACTGGAACTTTCATGCGTTATGGCATGCCAAAGAAACTGCCAATTTCATCAGGATAGTTCTCCGCTGGTGGAAGATTGTAAACGTTAGAACACCTCACAAAGGCCATCACCACAGAGATGTTTATGAAGAGCCAGTTTCGTGCCAGAATGGTGACCCTAAGCTGGAATTTCTCGATGCGTTTGTCACTTGTTTGGATGTGTGGGAATCCTACAAACACGACAACGGCGTTCTCACGCGAGAAACTCAATCTGCTCTAAGGCATTCCGCCTATGCAATACTTGAATTCACCAAGTACTGCCTTGTCGAGCTTCGTTATAAATATGTCCTGCTCGGCAAGCTGCAGACAGACGGCCTCGAAAACCGATTTGGCCAGTACAGGCAAATGGCTGGTGGTCATTACCACATCAGCATTAGGCAGCTGTACGAGAGTGAAGGCAGGATTCGCCTACAAAATACTCTTCCTATAATGAGCAGTGACGATTTCATTGATGAGGCTCTTCCATCGGCAACAGCCACAAATCAACAGGACTTCAGAGTTACTGTCAAACCTGAAGATCTTGACAGCTTAAGCACACGCGTCGCTGTTTTTGCTTATGTTGGAGGCTTTTGCACTAACTCTGTGGTAAAAACGTTGAAGTGCAACTACTGTCAAGAGAACCTTGTTGCTGACAGTTGCGATGCTGAGTGCGATGGTGATGCTAATTCTTTAATAGCAAGTCTCAATCGAGGTGGCTTGAAATTTCCGAACGCGTGTGTTGTGACAGTAGTGATGCACACTGAAGTTGTTGTTGCAAAGTTGCTGCAGAATGAAAAAAATGCCGGGTGCTTTCTGCAGGCACAAAATCACAGATGCATTGTTCAACAGCTTGTGAAGGAGAGCTTGCCAGCATTTGAGGAACTGGTGACTTGTGCGAATGGGCACGAACCAGATTTGGTGATAAATATGTTGATAAAATGTGCGACAAATGTTCTGCTAAATAATTATTGCAAAGAGAGGAATGACGCAGCCGCTGTTGCTAAAGCCGATGCCAAAGCTGTCGCAAAAGCACGGAAATTGAAAACTGTTGCTCCAAAATAAAGTGCTCATGTATCATTTGTAATTTTCATTAGTATGTTCATTAATTTGTGTTTTTGATCATTGCTTCGTGCACTTGTTTCGTGTGTACATGTTGAATAAACTAACTCTTACTACAGGAAGTTTGCACGTTTGACAAGTTTCTTATAATTAACAATACCCTTTGAAGACATTGAGACGCGAGAGAAAACAATATTGCTGAGATACAACTCGTTCACTGCGAGAGGAGTGCCAGAAGCGGCGCGCTCCCGCAGGACCGGTCGGACGGCGAGTGATGACGTAGCTGACGTCATGTCACGTGAGGCGCAGGCTTGAAGAATTTTAGGAGGTGTTGGTCTAGCCGAGTGTCCTTCAGGACCCCTTTTTTTGAGCAATAAAGTTTCACCACCACCACCATTGTGATGGCAGTCCTTTGTGAATGTACCACATGACTGCCACAACTCTGATGTTTATTTACTTATGATTGAAAAATAAGTGTCCAGAGAGAGGCTGCCATCAGCAATTATTTACCAGGCTCGTGCAGTAGATATGTGCTTTTCTCTTTAAAGAGTGCTGCGATTTCATGTTTTTTTCACTTGGCAATTATGCCATGAGTAGGAAAGTAAATCACAGACTGCTTAGATAATGGCATGAGTAGGAAAGTAAACCACAGTCTGCTTAGATATCTGTTGGTAACAGCCAGTTATTTTGGATTGCAGGAAAACGCCCTCAAGGTCTAGATATAAAAAAAGTGTTTCCCACAGCAACGTTGAGTTTGAACATTATAATACAGAGCAACGCATAAAAAACGCAGCACTAAAGGCTGCAACTATCAAAGCTGCTAGTTGAAAGTGTCTTTCGTAAGCTGTGACGATAAGAGATGTGCAAAACATCACCAAGGTGCATCCAGTACCAGAAACACTGGAAGTTAGTCAAAATTATTAGTGAAAGTAGACAGAAGTGTGGGAAGCTGTACAGGTTCCTTGTTCACACACACACACAAAAAAAGTGCATTGGTTCTACCTGGTGAACTACTTCCCCTTTTTTTTACTCATTCAGCGTTTATTTGATTTCCTAACATGCTATATATATACCATACGAGTGTTTGCATGACTATTCGCTATAACACTATGATCATCCTGACTACACATATAGTACCTACTGGTATCCACATTGTGTACTATACACACTAACAGTGAAGCTATTAGAGAGTTTTTGAATAGGGGCCCCAAAGCCTTTTGCGTATGCATGGTTTGGGTCAAGCAGGAGGGATGAGTTTTCAAATAGGGTCTGCAGCGCTTTGGACACTCCCCCTTGTCTATGTCACTCTGGTTTTGGCCAAGAGTTGTCATTCCAGTAGATGCCGTCACTTTTGCCTGACCCAAAACTTTTAGGGAAGGCTTTGGGACTCCCGCTAATTTCGAGAAATAGCGTCCCCAACCCAAAACCCAAATGCGGTTTTGGTTTTGCGCATGCGCAGTGGCCTTGATGCTATTTCTTTTGGGCCCCAAACTTTTGGGACCCTTATTTGAAAACTCCCTTATATTGTTAGTCTTAGAGCTGTTCCACTAATTTTGGTTGATCTGCACCTAAACTTTACGACAGCTTTCCAAGGTGCAGTGCGTATCTAGAATGGACAGTTTCTGCTCAAACATGGGCAACCAGGTAGCTCAAGCTATATAAATAGCCTTCTGCATTTTGTCACTGAACTCCCCTTTTTGTTTTTTAGAGGGCAGGGTTCGAAAACTCGAAATTGCATGTGTCCCACAACATTGAAGGTTCGACCTCAACCCATTGTCACAGCTCAGGCGTGTTATACTTCGCAAGTTATCTTGTTTGCTTCTCATATTCACAAGAGCACCGACTATGATCTGGTAATGCTTGCTTACTATGTTTGAGAAATACTGCAGGACAATGGTAAATGTCAGCCTCTACAGTGAAATTTCACAGCCATTGCTGAACCAAAACAAATGGTTTAATGGGAGCCGTAGCTCTTGCTGCCAACAGCCTGAGAGAAGCTAGTTTGTGTTCGCAAAGCTCAGCATACAACAGGTGTGGCACAATGAGGAAGGGAGTAGCCCCCTCTTTTCCAATATCAGACGTACTCATAACATAAGAGACAAGCTTCCTGCCTCCCTCTGAAGGGCCAAATCACTTGTCAAGGCTGCCTCTCCCAGTCAGAAAATCCTGGCACCAAACCAGGCACATAAGCTAATTAACTAATATACAAGCTATCAGTGTCTATAGGTGATGCACGAAGCTGCATACAGAGTTCAACGTGAGCACAAAATGAAGAATACTTTCAAGAACAACTGAGCTGCGCAAGTCTCCACAAGACTATCACTGAAAACCTGAACAAGGCATTAAAAGCACGAAAATAATAAATAAATAAACAAAGGACTTTGGCTGTGTCCTTTTGCTTTGTGCACTGTTCTTTTTTTTTTTTCTGTGCTGTTCATGCTTTCTGTCTTCATGTTAATAAGACCACCTAACTTTTGCACCTAACTTGCAACAGAACCGACCTATACACTCTCGCTTTATAGCCACGGGACTAACTAACTGAACCCCAAACACCTGGCACCAGTGCACCTATCAGAGAACAGTCAATACTTCAACACCCTCAGTACAGATATATACAGTATGCTCAAACTGTGCAGTGCGGCTGTTGTCAACAGTGACAGTTGTCCAGCCATCTTCCATGATGGCAATGTCAGGACTTCCTTCGGTGATCACTGGCTCTAGTGGTGGAAAAAGAAAATGCGTAGTTCTTTTATTATGCGCATGAAACATCGAATGCAGACACAAAAATTAAATAGTTGAACTGCTTCAGAAAACCTGCTCTCTTTAGAGCAGTCATTGATGAGGAACTAATTGGGATGTAAACAGCGACCAGGCTTGGCTTCAAGTCGTTGAGAATCTCTTTAATTTTGAGAGCAACAGTCTGTCTTTCCTGTAGCTCTCTCTTGCTTCTTTATTTTTCAAATTACGATAGCACTGATAACGCATGGTATGTTACAGTGGCAATTTTGGGGGCATTGCGCAGGAGGCATTTTGTGCCAATATAGTTTTCCAAGAATGATTAAAAACACAGGTGGTCACAGGGCCAAACCACTTAATACCCTTGTGAGACTCTCTCATCAATCTTTTGTAAAGATCAAGACCAGAGTTGTAAATAAATTACAGTCAACTCTCATTAATTAACACTCAAAGGAACCTCTGAATTTCGTTTTAATTATCAGGAATTATCAGATACATTACTGTGGGCGAGGTGACACCACACATTACAATTAAGCATTGATTTTATCTCACTAAAACTTTTTAAAGCACTTTTAAACCTTAACTGCATGAAATGAACAGAAACCGGAGGTGTAAGGTCCACACATTTATCAGCCCTTTACTGCTGATCAGACCTCTAAAAAAAATCGTAAATTGCTGACTGCTTTTTTGCTATATGTGCCTTCAGCACAAAGCTCTCTATACCAGTTGAAAAGCATCACGGTTTACCATGCGTGTGCTTCGTTTCAAACATTTGTTTACTAGTAGCAAAGCCTTTTTCCTCGAAGGCCAGAGATGCTTATTTTTCATTTTTAGACACTTTGGATTCTTAGGATTATTTAAATTTTTAAATAGTAAGTAGGCAAGTAGCAGATAACTTCTGGTAAAAAGCCACAAAAAGTATGAATTAACCAAATGATGGGGTCAAGAGGCCTTTAAATACTGTGGCATGTGGCGGGCCACCCTTTTACCGCGGCCGCCAGAACGGAAGAAAGGCAGCCGCTTCATTTTGTGGAGATAAGAAGCAGCGCCAAGAGGCCCTCCTGTTTCCATGTACTGGGCGCTGCGTGGCTGAAATTACTCTACGGAGCACCGCTGTCGTTCGGGTCCACGCAGAGATGCGACACATGGTGTCTTTGTGCCGCGGTAAAAACCACAATGCCGAGCTTCCACTGATTACCAACGTCGGACCACCACGCTGTGCATCTCTGACTGATGACCCGCCGACGCTCAAATCAGTACCAGATGTCCAGATATGGCCTCTCAGAGGAACCTAGATGGCGATCGTCGTTCGACAAAGCTTGGGTGGTCAGCGCGAGCGGCAGGATGACAAACACGTTTTACTCCGCTCGCTGGAAGCAAGATTCGCCGGAGGAGGCAGCACCAGGACCATACACATGTTTGGTTTGTGTATGTGTGTTTGTTGGGGGCGGTGCCGGCATAATGACACTCGTGTGTGCTGCGGGACATGTTATTGGACAGTGCCGTATGGACCTGTTCCCCAATGTACGGATCTGGGAAGACGCCACTGTATTTAATCAGCCCTCACGGGCTGCTTAGTGTGGTTCACAGAGCTTGCTCAACAGACAGACTTTTTTGATGTAGAGCTTTAAATGTAAAGCTTCGGGCCAAAGAGCCCGTGCCATGTAAATAATGTAAATAAACCCTCTCTATGAAGTTCAACCTCCTCCTGCCTCGACATCTTGGTCCCGGATCTCTAAGGGCGCAAACCCCGGTCGCAACAACTGGATGGCAGCGGTAGGATTAGACTCAGCGACAAAGAGCGACATGGACAGGAGGTCAGTGGAAAGCCCTAGCCCTGGAATTCGGCAGGACGAAAGTAGCGTACCACGACCACACGTAATCGGGTGAGTGCTTGGCTTTGTGCTTGAGATGTATCAAGTCGTTTAGCCTAGACCCGTTACAAGACAGATATAACGGACAACTGCCTAGCCCCTGTGGTTGTTAGTAGAACACGGAGCAGCACTCGATGTTTATCTTAGCAAGTAGGTTAAGAACGAAAGCTCAGATAATTCAGTAGCAACTTGTGAATTTTGCGCAAGTTGTGAGGGTACGTTGGGGGAAAGTTTCGGGAAGTTGAAGAGAGCAGAAGGGTGCAAAAGAAATGGGAAAAGTGTAGAAAGGGAGGTTGGCCACGTAGTGCTACTTGTTTGGTTATGCTTCCGGTCTCCGCTGTGGGATTTACCAGGCTTCAATTTCCCCAGACCCCGAATTGAAATGCTGGTGCATTTGCGTTTTTTCGTTTTTTCACAGCTGAGTCAAAGCAAAGTAGTCCCCACGGACCTGATGTAATAGATGAGAGATAACCCGTGGAACTTGTGTTGGGATCTCGACATGGAATTCGAGGATGATATGCCTGCATCTAAACTCCGTGAGGTAATCCTTGAAAGTAAAAGTAACACGGCCGATATTGAGCACTTTGGGAATATGTATTTATTGGAACAGGAATAGGTAGAGAAACAGAGAATAAGGGAGGAAGAATACAGGAAGGCGATGCAAGAAATTTCTGAGGAGGAGGAAAGGTTCAAACGAGAGTGCGAAAGACTAGAACGCAGGTTAGGTGCGAAGCAGGTCAATCAGTACAGGTAGCACACGAGAAATGCGAGGAACAGATAAGTGCAGTGCAAATCGGAGCCGCAGAAAAAGCTAGCACCTACGAGGGTAGCACTAGGTTCACGAATGAACCGACGTTGACAGCAGCGAAAGAAGCTGCGCTAAGAGGAGAGGCCGACGAAGGCTAGAATAAATGTGGTGAAGTGCTGTGCCAAAAGAATTCTAGTGAAACAACTAAGATAGTTGTAGGCGACCTGGCACAGACACAAAGTTAAAGTGCGCCAATGTTGGATCTTGCCGATGGAGTCCAAGGACATTTCGACCCGCTAGGCAAGAACACCAGCATTAGGCCAGCAGAGTGTGAGGAAGTAGCACAAGGTACAGTAATTGTGGACAGCTCCCAGGCATGTGAGCTGGGTTGACCTGAGAGTATTGCAACGGTGGATCCTGCCAGCAGTGTACAAGAGGATTTCGACCCGCTAGGCAAGAACACCGGAGTGAGTTCAAGAGAGGGAGCAAAAGTAGACATGGCTAAGGACAATGCAGTTGTCGGCAGCTTCCTGGAATGTGAGCTAGCTTCTTCGGAAGAAAACAGCTGCAGTATTACAACACACGTTAATTTGTCTGGCAGTCTGGAGAGTGAGAGAGAAGATGATTTGTGCGCAAATAATTTGACTGCGCGGGCAAGACAGCTGAGGAAACCAGCCAGAGTGCTGGTGAGCAAGAGAAACGAGTGGAGTCAGACATAGGCCCAAAGAAAAAGCGTAGGCGGAAGCGGCGTCTTAAAGGCAAGAGTACGACAAAAAGCACAGCCTGCTTGAAGAAAGGTAGTAAACGTCCGAGGGCTGTTTACCGAATTAGGCATTTGTCGTCGGCGCCAGAGTCGCTTTGCATGGGTTTGAGCAGTCGGATGAAAAGAAAAAGTGCGCTGGGCGATCATGCAAACAGAAGGAAGGGGCGTAGTAAGCAGAATGAGGTCTTTGTCATCCGGTCGCAAAAATACATTGAAAAAATAGATAGTCAACCAAAAAATTGAATTTTGTTTGATTAAATGAAAGTATGAATTATCAGTTTGAATTCTTGCGAGTCTACTGTATACTTCAATCTGCAATTAGCCTCTATCTGGTGATACGATGAAGACTCATTAATTAGAACTTCATTATTCTGAGAAAATCACATAATTCAAATATGTGTTCTGGTCCTGACTAGCATACATATTGTTCAATGGCGACAAACTCCTTAGTGTGGCCATATATGACTGCAGCCTGGTTAACTCGGATGATCCCCGGAGCACAAGAAGCATGAAATGGTGAAACAGAGCAAAAACAGCATTTGCGGACAAGTCTCCATTGCTGTCTCCGTCAGTCAGCGACCATGTTTTGTCCACAGCGTATCTCACGCCCCATAGTTGTTTTGCATCGACTTGGTGCAATGGGCCACAGAACTCATACTGGCAGCTTTTCGCAATGAGGAGCTTTCAGTCGCGATGTGCATACTAGCAAAACGCACACTTACGACATCGCAATGGATGAATCGTCAGTTTCACGCCATTTCGCTAGAAAGAAACCTATCGTTACACGCATATGGTGGTGTTTGAACTAACTTTTTAAGACACAGGATTGTGAGCTGCAGTTACACGGTTAACAAAGTTGTGAACAATGAAACTAACAGCTTTTGCACTGACCTTATGCTAAACAAGTGCAGGATTCGCCTTTTCACCTATACTGTTCATTTCTTGGTAATTTTGATCATTCGGCCTATGGTTAATTTGGACATTCTTACTGGTCTAGCAAAATCTGAATTAGCAATCTTTTACTGTATAAACAGTTTTCTATTCATGTTGGTGTGTCTACTACAGTCTAGCAAATGACTGAGGTGATATCTCCAGATAACGTGCTTCGACTCTGTATTTGTTCCAATGAGCCATTTCGAGTATTGGCATACACAATATTGATGTTTCACAACATCATTGAGAGCCGCCTGGCTCTTTCAACATGTGAATCAGAACAAGCGCATCTTGGTTTAACTGATAGGCAGCATCACAGTATCTGACCCCAAAAAGAGCAGGGACAGTGAATTTCAAACTCAAGTGTGGCGTTCATTTTATTGCTTGCTATGCATGAGTTTTCTTTAGCGAAGTGTGAATGGTGTCCGTTACTTCGAAGTTATTCTATTTCAAGCACAAAGAGCGTTCAAAGGCTCAACGGCGCGTTCCCGGCCATGAGACATAGACATTACTTAGACGTGTTCAGCGAGCTCCTAGGGCATGCCTCAGGCGGTGAGTGACGATGAGTGAGCAGTGATGACGTCAACAATTTTAGTGTTGTCAATACAGTGCCTACATTTAGTACCATCAAGTGGCAAAGCCTGGCAACGACTTCCCTTCCTT